GCAGCCCTTTGTCAGTGTGTTGGAGTTAGTAGTGTGAATCACAGCTAACAGTAATTGCAGGGGGAGAGAGTTTTGTGCTTCTGAATTGTTCTACTGTTCTTCTTCCTAATCTACAGTTAATCTTGACATTGCCCCTCAAATTGGCATGGAAGAGTCTGTGGAAATATTTGAGCACATCATCAGTCACTTGCTACAGGAAGAGGAGGAGATTATGGGCAGTGAAAATGTACAAATGTTACATCCTGTCTCAGGAAAGCATACAGTCCAATTTTAATATTTCTGGCTGAAATTCACTTACTCCTTCTGAATTTGCATCATATTTAAAAGAATAATATTGTTCTCTCTCTTTGAAATAGCAGCATATCCAAATAGGCCTAAAAGCTCTGCTGCAAATCTGTAAAATGTTTCCGCCTTTTATATACAAAAAAGAAACATGTTTTATTTCCAGATACAATCTGCCTGTCTTCTCTCTCTAAAAAACTGTATCATAATAAAAAGGATGCGATTTTGTGCAGCAAATCTCTACAACTGTTATCTATCCCTACAAAAAATACAGTCTAATTTAATATTTAGGGATGATATCTGCCTACTCTCTCCCTCTGAAACAAAGCCTATTCTAAAAGGCTTAAAAGGTGTGCTGCAACAGTACATTTTTCCTGTTTTCAATATAAAATAAAAAGTACATTTTGTCCAGATGCCATCTGCTTGCTCTATCCCTCAGAAATAGTGGTCTGTCCCCCCCAAAAAAACTTATAAGCTGTGGTACAAATTGGTAGAATTGTCAAACTTCATTCAATCTTGGAAAAAAAAAATATTGCCAGATGTAATCTGCTTGCTCTTTCACTCAGAAATTGCAGCCGGTGCAAACAGGTTTAAAGGTTGTACTGCAAATCTGCAAAATGTTTCATCTTCAGTTGCGGAAAAAAGACAGCCTTTTTTTTTAAATCCAGATTCAACTTTCTTTCTCTCTCCACTAAATAATTGCACCGTATCCAATAAAAGAACAAAAGGCATGCTGCAAATCCATACCATTTTTCTGTTTTCCATTAAAGGCAAAAAGACAAACATTTTTTATATTACCAGATGCAATCTACTTGCTCTTTCCCTCAGAAATTGTAGCCAGTCCAAAAAGGCTTAAAAGCTTTGATGCACATTTGTGAATTATTTTTTTGTCTTCATTCTCCGTAAAAATTATCCACAACATTTTATTCCAGATGCAGTGTGCTTACTCTCTTCCTCAGTAATTGTCAATCATCCCATAAAGGCTGAAATGTTGTGCTGAAAATCTGTGCATTTTTTTCTTTTTCAATTAAAAACAAAAGACACACTATTTTTTCTTCCAAATACAATATGTCTGATTTATCCTTCAGAAATTGTAGAATATCCAAAAAGGTTTGGACAGGTATGTGTAACGTATGAATTTTTTTCATATTCAGTCTCTGAAAAACGACATTAATTTTTTAATTTCCAGATGAAATGTGTTTGCCCTGTCCCTCAGAAATTGTGGCTTGTCCTATTAAAATGTAAAAGGCCTTCTGCAAACCTGTACAATCTTCTGTATTTACGTTCACAAATAAAAAATCAATTTTTTATTTCCAGATGAAATCTGCCTGCTTTACTGCCCTGAAATATTGAACTATCAAAAGGGTTTCATAATATTTGCTGCATGTATGTACAATTTCATGGCCTCCAGACACTGTTATTTGTTATCTACCTGCTATCACCCCTGTCATTGCATCTTACCAAAATGGAACACACACTGTCTAATAAATTATTTCTACTTTTATGCCTTCTGGCCTGAAAAAGTACACTTTTATTTTTATTTCATGATAAAACCTGCCTATTCTCTTTCTCTTCCATTGGGGCCTAGTAAAAATACTTATATGTGTGCAGCGTGTGAATGCAATTTTATTGCTTTTTTTGGCTGTTGACCATGACATTAACTGACATATTTTTCACAATAAAATATACCTGCTCTCTTCCTCTAACAAAGTGTGCAAGTACAAATACTTACCTAATGTGCAGCCATTTTTTACAATATTTCAGGCTGCTGTGTTTGAAATAACACACTACACCTGTTATTTTATGATAAAAAAAATAACTCTTCTCGCCCTCTTACTCTCCAGTGTCTATTTAAACTGCTTATATAGTCTGCAGCCACTGTGCTATATGTTTGGCTGTTGTCTATGCAACATGGTACTGTAATTTTTTAATTTTTGGTGTAACAACTGCCTCATCTCTGGAATTTGAGGTATTTTGATGCACAGTATGTTTATATTTTAACTAACTTTGTAAACAGTAAAGTGTGGTTCTGAAAATAGGATTACAAGCTATGTTATGAAGCTTGTTTTCCAGCGTCTGCCAATTTGTAAGAAATTGCTTTAGCTTTGTATTTTTTTTTATTCCATCTTTACTACTTCTGCTGCTCAGTTCTGACCTATTGCTGCTACAAACCAAATCTGCTATTTTTGCAAAAACTACCTATTAAACACTTTTTTGAGTGGAAATAAATTTTATTGGGTTGCTGGTGCGAGAGGAGTAATGTAGTGTTTCCCTTTAGGCCACCTGAAAAGACCCTCTTCCTGCTGAATGATCATTTTTTTTGTATTGGTACATTCCCTAGGGCAGTGCCCAGTTCTCCATATTAAACATACTTACTTACAAAGGCACTTACCACTGTGCAACAATTGTCACTACGTTTATGTATTTTATGCATGTAATAATACAAATAAAATCAATACCAGTATCAACAATACGAATCTGGGTACTTCTCTAAATAAATGTTCACATGCTATTAAAATAGGCAACTAGAAAGCATATGAAATTGTGTGTTGCTTTTTGCTACCTGATGGGTATGTTTGTGGCTAAAGCAAAGCTGTCATTAAAGAAATATGGCAGCTACCATTGCTGACCCCCTTCTAAAATACGTTTCCAGGTTGTCTTGTTGACCCATGTATGCAGACCAGGAGTTCTGACTTTACTGTCTGCATCCTTTTTGCAGATCTGAATGATGTATAAACTTTTGAAGGAATATATGAAGCCCCACACTGTGTTATTGTAATTCAAATATAAGTTTATCCTGGTGTAATATCAGATGAAAAATATGCACAAATCTAGCATATCTTGGGGGAATAATCATGCCTCCTTGGTCAGGGCTTAAAACATATGAAATAATGTAGGACAAGTAGACTTGTTAGCAAATGTTTAGTTAGTACTATGACTACGTTTAGAGAGGCACACGTTCATCAGCAGCTGGTTTTGACTGCTTTGGTTGGGTTTTAACAGCACTTTGGAATACAATACTGTAACAGGAACTTATTTTACAAGTTAAATTCATAACCCTAACAATATATACCTTCTAGCTGTTTAAATTAAATTTGTATAATAAGAGGAACCTCAGCAGTATGGCTCCTTACATATCTTGTCTGAGGATTTACTATGAGTTAAATGTACAAGATAGAATGAAAGAGAGCAGGAATTTCTGCCAGAAAGATGTGTGCCAAGATTCTCCACTCCAATCCCACAGTCATGTATGCTGACATCTCCCTAAGGAATAAACAGAGGCTATAAGAAAGAAAGCAGACCTTTCAAGCTGTTACTGAAGTACAAGGCGAGAAAAAAGAATGTTAGACCCCGGAGAACATATTTTATTGTGGTAAGTGGCTTTAAATCTGTATAAAAAAATCTTTTTACAACATTTTAATTTCTTGATGCATTTCTTAGATTCAACCCTCTTTTTTATCCTATGAAAATTATACAAGTTATGTCATGTCAGACTATAATAAAGCAATTATAACCTTGGTAGTTAGAGTTAATATAGGCACTAATGTAAGATGATTTCCTATCGGTTGCTATAGGCAACTACTTATTTAATCCTAAATTTGCCAATGAATGCACAAAAATATGAAACTGGCTCAGAAACAAACAGTTTTTAATATCACACATGAAAACATAACATATTTCCAAGTTATTAATAAAAATTGTATTTAATTATTGTTTTCACAGTTTTCTTTTGTAAGCTATGTATTTTTTTTATTTTCATGAGAAAATCAAGTTTATGTTATGCAGCATCTCTCCTTATTTCATATTTATAAAAAAATTTTTGTGCCCTATAATTAAGTATACTTGTATATAAACAAATCAATATGCAAATATAAATATTAATATAAAATATAATAAACAAATCATTATGTGAGACTATGGTGTACACATTGTATGATATACAAAGGTTTAGTTGGCTGGATAATTTCAGCTACATTTTAAACAGCCTGTTTATTTATTAATGCAAAACGCAATTGCACAGATCATATTGTAAATATTCCATAATTACTAAGCAGATAACAAATAACATCCGTGAGAGGTCTTTTCTGTGGGAAACTACATGTTAACCCATAATATAATATATAATAACATAAAAAATATATAAAATGCAGTGGTTCCTAAGAATTATTATTGACACCACATCCCTATTTCATACTTTAGATATACTATCACTTAATACAGGCTCTTTGCTTCCCTTCTGAATATCTATTTACAAGTCTTCAAGCCCTAAAGAATGTTTAGAAAAGAGCTTTGATGTCTTTTGAAAATGAGGTGTATTAAGCTATTTTCTCTAAGTTATTTGCTGTTAGGAATTTTTTTAGTTCCTACAACCTCCTGCCTGTGAGCAGTCTGTGATATGACTCAAAAATAATTGGAGGAATAATGAAATTCATCTTCTTATTCTGCTCACTACACTATAAATGTTCTCTTTAAATGTATGTTATGCATACATATGTATATATATAGAGTATATTATGTATGTTCATATTTAACTTTCTTTTACAGATAAGTAACAGCCAAAAGCTGGATATCTTCTGCCATCCACAAAGGAAAATATTTTATGGAAACATTTCGATTTTGGTCATCATCAGTGAAAAATTAAGATTATGTCTGAAAACCTAACCAGCAACCTAACTGCTCCATCATCATGTATCAATAATACTATTGAAGGCTATCAGATGGATTTGCTTCCAGTATTTTACTCCTTCATTTGTATTTTTGGCTTCATAGGAAACAGTATAGTCATTGCAGTCTTGTGTCTCCAGAGGGATTTGAAAACCGTGGCCAACATCTATATTGTAAATCTAGCCACAGCTGACTTACTGTTCCTAGTAATGTTGCCATTCTGGGCCACATACTATGCATTCGGCTTAAACTGGATATTTGGCACAGTAATGTGCAAAATTTCAAGTTCCCTTTTAAATTTGAATTTATTTGCAAGCATCTTCTTCATCACTTGTATGAGCATAGACCGCTATATGGCAATTGTGTATCCGCTACGTTCACAGAGGAGAACATTAACCCAGGCTGTCATTGTCTCAATATGTGTTTGGGCACTGGCCATCATGGCCACTTTTCCTACATTCCATTTTCGAAACACATACTACCTTAAAAACCTTGATGTACATGCGTGCATAATGGATTTCCCTGAAAAACATTATTCAAGCTGGTGTGTGGCAATGTCCTTGGTAAAGATTACTTTTGGGTTCTGTATGCCAGTAACAGTCATCATCACCTGTTACTTAAAGATTGGATTACATTTCAAAAAATCTAAAGGACCTGTGATCAACAGGCAAAGCAGAGATCGGGTCCTCAAAATTGTTACTGCAATTGTTGTCTGTTTCTTAGTTTGTTGGCTCCCATTCCATTTATTAACTTTCCTTGATGTTCTAACAAGAATGGAGATTATTATGGACTGCAAGATAGAGACGTTTGTTGAAGCAGCTTTGCCAATAAGTATTTGCCTTGCCTTTTCAAACAGTTGCATTAATCCTTTGCTGTATTGCTTTGTTGGGAACCAGTTTCGAAAGAATTTTAGACATGTGATCAGCAGTATCAAACGTTTACAAAGCACAAACAGCCAACACAGCTCTTCCAGAAAGGGAAGTGACTTAAGAGAGATGGAACCAAATAGACCAAAGGGTAATGCAACAGTATGACCAAACTGCCTAATGTACAATGATGAGTTAGTAGACTTTATTCATTCTCACTGTGAAATCTTGTTGTGTAAACAGGTACAGTGTGCTAACCACATTGATATCATTCTTGAATTAATGAACATAAACGAGCACAAGAAGGCAAAATGATTAACTCATGATTCAGGGTGGAATAAAAAATAAGCTATAATATTATTTGAACTTACCTTTTTTACTGCAAAGCACCAATTTGATTTTTCCATGCTAAACTTTTTGCCACCAGCACACACTGTGCATAGGAAAGTATCCCCATTCCATTCACTTTTCTATTTCCGTACTGCAGGGTGAAGCAAAGATGTTTGCTCTCATAATTCGCCTACCTTCACCCTTATAATTTGCCTAGCCTAGCTCCTCATTTTCCCACTTATCAACATGCTAATGAAATTATTAAACTAAACTTGTTTTTGATTACATACCTTATTTAGAGCCCGTGACCTCCTCACTAGGTCTTTGTGCATCTTAGAGGTGCCATTCATAGCTTCCTGAAAAGATAAAGCAGCGGTTATCCCATATGTGCTGCTGAGCCTCCATGATTAAAAGAACCACAATCCAATGAGTGAAAGGGGTGGGCCAAGGACAGTAAATCTGGGGGAGGGGGCCTAGAAGATTCTGGATATCCTCTAGCCAGAAAGTGAGGCAAGCTCTCTGACTTGCTGCAGCTTCTAATGCACACTGTGAGAAGCTTACAGAGTGCAGTGAAATCAGAGTAATTTCAGTTCAGAGTAGAGACATGTACAATTGTACAGCTAGAGTTCACCCTTAAGCCAGTTTGCTTTTAACACAGATAAAGAGTCACTTTAGATTCACTTCCAGCCAAAACTTTGCTTTATACTTTATGCTTTGGGTAGAGGGAGGAAGATTTAGAACCCCATCAGGTTTTTATTGCTATCTTGTGTCTCTTTGGGGATAATCATAACAATAAATACCTGTAAGGGGCTTTATCCATCTACTCTCTACTTCTCTCTTGTCCTACCATTGTCATTGTGATAGAAAGTGAAGAAGCACCCCACTGGAGATACAGACAGCAGCAAAAACATTCAAAGATAATAACCTTTTCCTACTCAGTCAAAAGTTTAAAGTGGGGTAGAAGCCACAAGCTCAAGCCAGAAGCCACAAGCTCTGGTGGGGATCCCAAAAGAGGAGGTATGGGGCTGCTCTGTGCAAACTATTGCACAGAACAGGTAAGTATGACATGTTTGCTGTTTAGCCACTTGCCTACTGGGCACTTTTAGTCCCTTTGTGACCAGGAAAATTTCCAGCTTTCAGTGCTGTTGTACTTTGAATGACAATTGTGTGGTCATACAACAATTGTTAGAAATTTTTTCACACAAATAGGGATTTCTTTTGGTGGTATTTAATCGCCACTGGGGGTTTTTTATTTTTTGCACTATAAACAAAAACAGAGCAAAAAAAAAAATGTTTTTCTTTGTTTCCATTATAAAATTTTGCAAACAGATAATTTTTTTCCTTCACTGATGTGTGTTGATGAGGATGCACTGATAGGCAGTACTGATGGGCACTGATGAGGTGGCATGGATAGGCAGCACTGATAGGTTGTACTGATGATGTGGCACTGATGAGGCGACACTGGTGGGCATTGATGAGGAGGCACTGATGATGCTGCACTGATATGCAGCATTGATGGGCACTGATAGGTGTCACTGATGGGCACTGACAGGCTGCACTAATGGGTGGCACTGACAGACGGCACTGATGGGCGGCACTACTGGGTGGCACTACTGGGCACTGATGAGTGGCACTGCTGGAGGGAGGTTTGGGAGAATGTCATATGACGCCCTCCCAGAACTGGACAACCGCGCTGTAGCCATCATTCAGCTATAAGTGGTTAAAAAAAAAATTAATATTTCTCTTTACAATCACATTATTGCAGTTTTTTAGGAATGGAAGGTTTAGAACCCCTGTTAAAATTTTCTTGCAATCTATGTTCCTGCTGGTAAAATCTACTGACCTTTGTCACCTGCAGTGAGGGAAAATCTAAAATTTTGTGTTGTCACTGGGTCAGACATAGAGGTGAATTATTCCAATGGGGACACTTGTTCTGGTAACAACTATAAAGATTTCCTTTACTTTGAAGACTTCGGATGTCTTACTCTTTACAAAGCTAAATAACAAAAGTTTTGGCTTTAGACATAGTTTAACGATTAAAACAATAGTAATCTTTCATCTGGCAAACTAATAGTTTGAATATACATAAGAACATAAGACTGTGCTATGTTAACAGCCTTTACAAGCTGAAAATGGCTTCTCATGAACATACTGAGCTAACCTGCACTTTTTTGTCCTTGTCTGTGTGGGACCTAATATGCAACGTACAGTATACAGTGGCCTACGATGGTGGCTATATCAGAGAGATATGGGCATTCATCAAGAGCATTGATTGCTCATAATGTGCAGAGGACAAATTAAATGGTTGTTTTAGAGCAGCATATGCACAAGCAGACCTCATATTACTGTACTTTTTATCCAGGTGCTTTGATATATGTAAAGATGTTATTCGGCCAGGAATATAAGAGGGGGTTTTATGCAAATGAGTTAATTATCAACAGAGAAAAATGCAACAAACTATCTTGATCAGTTGTTGATTTCTCTGACAATCTCTATAGGTAGGATGACCAAATGATCATTTTCATCAGGGGTACATATTATATGCAAGGATTCTGGGCCTGGATAACTGGGGACAGTTGATATTGTGAGTTGTAGGCTTGCTAATCATTTCGTATATATTTGAAATAAATCAGCCTCAGTACCCGCAAATGAAAATGTAAATCTTATGGAGGTGATAAGCTGATGACCCTATTGTATTGCCACTGTAAGGGAAACTTAAAGAATATGTAAACCCAACATTTCATATTCCTGATATGTGCTGCTGTACCATGTACTTGTTTTGAGAAATATCCTGTTTTCTTTGTATTGCTTCCTTTGTGTGAAATCCCTAGTGTTCCTGCCAGTCCCCCTGCTTTCCTATTAAAAACTGACCACACTAGAAATGGTCAGTGATCTAGCTGTGCAGATAACTCTCTCTCTTCTCTCCTCCAATGATCATACTTGTCCTGTCATGCCCCCCTCTGCACAGCCATTCACTGAGAAGACCACTGGCTGCTGTTTCTCCTCCCCGAGCTCTCTGAGCTCCTTATGCAACTGAAAGCAATGAGTATGTGATCTCTTATGAAAAAGGGAAAAAGGTATCTATAAAATGTTTTATATATATCTATGTGCAAATGTGTTGCCTTTCATTTCTATTTCAAACTGAACGGGTTGTTTTACAAGGTGAGGGCTTACATATACTGTAAAGTTCAGTTCATTTCTCAAATAGCCATTCTGATAAGTTCTGAAAACATTTCTATATATATTTTTGTTTCTGTTCATTACTTCTATCATTAAAGTATATCATATGTGAACAGTATTTTTCAGTTATGATCACTGTTCCCCCCAAAATGAAAGCCCTCTATTTAGGTGCTCATCTACAATCTGTTGATCTTTTCTCCAAATCTGACACTATTAAAGATGGATTGATGAATCTACAGGGAGCTTTGATCAAGACAAATCTCTGACTAGTTTATTCCTGCACGTAACTGATGATAGAGGGAAAAATGAAATTTTTTTGTAGGTAACACAAATTATGTGACTTTGTTGAATATATTTAACATGATAAGCTATTTTGACTATATTTTAATACATTTTTATACTTGTAAAAAAATAGTGTGTGTGGCAAATTATTTCCTTCCAGCTCTCTGGCTTAATTTAATCAAACTAAGCAATATACAGTACTGTGCATAAGTTATAGGCAGGTGTGAAGAAATGCTGTAAAGTAAGAATGCTTTCAAAAAAATATATTTTTTTAATTGTTTATTTTGATCAATTTACAAAATGCAAAGTGAGCGAACAGAAGAAAAATCTACATCAAATCAATATTTGGTGTGACTACCCTTTGGCTTCAAACCAGCATCCATTCAATTCATCAAGTTCTTTTGAAGAAGCACAAAGAAATGGCTAACGTTGAGGACCGTAAAGTCAGTGGTCGGCCAAGGGAACCTATTGCAGCAGATTAAAGACACATCATGCTTACTTGCCCTTGCAATCGGATGATCTCCACTAATGCCATCAGCACAGACCTGGCGGAAGCCAGTGTGACTCGGACATGCCTATTTACTGTCTGGGGAAGTCTGGCCAGAAGTAGTCTTCATGAGAAGAATTGTGGCCAAAAAGCCATACCTGCAACATAGAAACAAGGCTAAGCCACTCAACTATCCATGAAGACATAAGAACTGGGGTTCAGAAAAATGGCAACAGGTGCTCTGGACTGATGAGTCAAAATTTGAAATATTTAGCTGTAGCGGGAGTCAGTTTGTTGGCTGAAGGGCTGGAGAGTGGTACAATAATGAGTGCCTGCAGGCAACAGTGAAGCATGGTGGAGGTTCCTTGCAAGCTTGTGTCTGCATTTCTGCATTTGAAGTTGGAGATTTGGTCACGATCAATGGTGTCCTCAATGCTGAGAAATACAGGCAGATACTTATCCATCATGTTATACCATCAGGGAGGTGTGTGACTGTCCTAAAGTTTATTCTGCAGCAGGGCAATAACCCCAAACATACAGCCAATGTCTTAGAAACTATCTTCCGTTCAAAGAAGAAGAAGGAGTCCTGGAAGTGATAGTTTGGCCTCCACATAGCACTGATACCTGCCAAATTCCTTCAAAAAAACTGAGTGCACAGCACTTTGTTTAGCTGGAGGAATTTATGGTGTTTTGAAGGCAAATGGTGGTCACACAAAATATTGATTTCATTTGGATTTCTCTTCTGTTTCACTTACTTTTTTACATTTTAACTGATAAAATAAATAATAATTTTATTTCTGAAAGCATTCATAATTTGCAGCATTTTTTCACACCTACCTAAAACTTTTGCACATTACTTTGTATTTATGCTCCTGAGTTCTGCCTTTGTGGAAGATTAATATATCTTTCTTTTCATGGTATTTACATTTGCAGCTAATAACTATCCCCCTTCCTCATGACAGTGAGCAGACACTACTTTTCAGCAATGAATGCGGGAAATTTGAGAATCCGTTATGTTAACTGCCTAATATAAAAGTGATAAGCATGATTGTAATATATACATCCTATATGAGACATTCTGAGTATAACACCCCCTGGGAAATACACAAAGTCTCAGTTAGCAAATAAATGGGATTTTGATTAAACTTTAATTCTTAAAGAGGCGTTCCGGCCCTCCTTCCCAAAAACCAGGTCACTTACCTGTCCAGGGATCCAGTGGTATCCTCACCCTGATCCAATTCTTCCATTGGCTATCGGGTGCTGGCGTTGCCATCTTGAGTAAGGGAAGCCGGTAGTGAAGGCTTGCGCACTGCACTTTGTGAAGTGTCCCAGAGGGCTGCAGGGGGAAAGAGAAGGCTGAACTTCCAGAAAGTTTGCCATGGCAAACTGATCCATAAGTGGGAGCAGGTACCTGCCAAAACCATGTACTCACACTCCCCCCCCAAAAGGTGCAGCGGGGGGGGGAGGCAGATAAGTGGAGCTGCCACTTTTGGGTGGAACTCCGCTTTAAAAATGCACCCTTCCGGTGTAGGGTAGGTGTTTAAAAGTAGATGGATAGGTCTCCTATAGATTTTGATACTCAAATCACCTCCCTCCTTAATATTTAACACACAAGTTGTTACTCAGACAAAAAGGAATTTGAACATCACAAACCTGTGTTTTTCAAGCTAAGTCCACACAGACAGAAACATTTACCGTACATTGTACATCCAAAACACTCAATGCCCAAACACAAGCAAAGAATTTGGTGTATACAATTCAGGGTAATGAGAAATACATCAAAGATGTACATTGGGGAGACAAACCAAGCACTCATAAATTGATGGTCTAACATAGAAGGGCAAAAAATGCAGGTCAGAACTTAGCAGTCCACCTACACCATAAGGAAAAGAGACATATTTTACAGGACAGTATGGTTTACACTTTGAACAGAAAGAATACGTATTGCAGAAGAAGCAAGAAAGAAACCATCCATTTATAAGTGGAGAAACAATCCCTAAACAAGGGTGGGACCCTTTGACAACATCTGCCACCCATATACTGTATATGAGAGAGTAAATTCTGCGCTATCTCCAATAATTTATCTGTGAGTAATAACCAATGTCTGTAGTCTGGTGTTCTATGTCAATTAATCAGATCAACACAAATTTTTTAATTGCTGGCAATTCTTTTGTATACATTCAGCTGTCAGAAGGGAACCTCACTGACAGCTGAATCATCGGTTGTTAAGGATGCCGGTGGCTGGCTCGCCAGCCCACTCTTTAACAACCAACTAAACACGAGCAAAATGCTAACACAAAAACAGAAAGACACTGGAAAAAAAACGCTAATATTAGTGGTTTTTATCCAGCTTTTTTTTAGCTTCTAGTGTGCATGGAGCTTGAAGGATCCAATCCATTATCATCTGCCCTGAGGTTGCAGATGGGAACTTTTTTAAAGCTATATATGCTTATAGTCTGGTCCTAATATATGTATGTGGCTTTCTATTTTTATGCTTTTTTAAATAAAATAACAGTGAGCAGTAGGGGTGGACTGACCATTCGAGAACTCGGGCACTGCTTGAGGGCCCGGGGTCATTAGGGGGCCCCATGAAATGCCCCTGGTACCCTTTTTATAGGCTTTTTTGAGTGTGGGCAAGGACACAAGGGCCCCATGATGATCCCCTATTGCCCGGGGTCCCCATGAGTTGTCAGTCCGCTCCTGGTGAGCAGTATATAGTGTGAGCTGGGGATAGGCAGCCAGGATATACAGTTGCAAG